CCGCTGCGCCACCAGGGAAGCCGAAGGTTAACTTTTGATGCAAAAATATGAAGCCTTAAAGTTGATTGATCTTTCTCTTTTTTAATACTGACTATGGGTCTTTGTCTTAATTGTGTCAACTCTAGGTCTAATGAAATAGCTTCTGATTAAAGTAGAAGGGCCCAGGCCACAGACTGCTCCCAAAACAACCCCTGAATGATTTAAACAATCTTGCTGTCTTCCCCCAGAAAGCAAAAACAAACACTGTACCCTTTGTATTTCCCAAAATATGGGAATGAAAAAACTCTGGCTTCACTTCAAGGTCAGGGTGAGCAAAACGTTCATCACTGGAAGGTCTGACCACAGGGACGCCGCAGAGGAGGCTGAAGGCGAGTCTTTCCTGACCTCTGGCCAGAGCTGGCTGGCAGGTCCAGCTGGCACATCTAGACTGCGAGGCCAGCGTTCTGTCACCAAAACACACAGCTGAAATGGAGGAACGCAGGCCTCTAGCCAGAGCAGATGGCTATGGGTAAATGTTAATTCATATTAAATGACACCAGACGATCATAGTCACTGATGTAAGGGACAGGGTAAACAAGGGAAAAAATGACAAAGGACGTAACTAACAAGCCCAACTTTGTCTGAGGATTCTACTTATTTTCACGGTTTTATTCCTTCCCCATTCATGAGAACTCCACCCTCAGGACCTAATCACCTCCCACAGCCCCACCTCCAAATACCATTCAATCAGGGATTAGGCTTCAATATACGAATCTGGGGGGAGACAGAAACATTCAGCCCTCTGCCCCCAACTCCAATCAGTGAGCAACTGTACTCAATTCTTTCTCCACAGGGTACTTCACGTGCATCTTACCCCATCATGCTCGTCATCAGCTACCCAAGCTGACTGACCCTTATAACCTCAAAGACAGCAAGAGCCTCTCACAGGTCTGCCTGCCTTCGGTCTCCCCCCACTGGTAACATGACACAGCCAGGATTCAGAACTATGGCTGGCTGACCCCAAAGCCGCTCCCTCTCTTCAAAAAACCCTAACGTCCTCCAATGCCCCATTCAAAGTCCCAAGTCTACCAATCCAACCTTGCCAGACCGTCCCCTCCATTCAAACGGTGACATCCCCACCCCCATTAAATGGCTGATACATTTCTGCTTTGGTTTCAATTATTCTGCCCACCCAACAATGACCTTCTCTAGTTCCAGGCTTACCTAAATCCTATCTCTTTCATGAATCAGTTCAATTATACCTCCTAAATTCCCACAGCAATCATTCACAAGTTATTTAGCAATTAAGTACTATTATTATGACATCTTATCTATTATCATCTTGAATATTTTTCCCCCCTCAGGCCACGCAGCACAGCATGTGGGATCTTAGTTCCCTGACCAGGGATCCCCTGCATTGGAGGTGCAGTCTTAACGACTGGATCGCCAGGAAAGTCCCTAACATCTTGAATTTTAGCTTGGAGTAGGGAATCCTCATAGATTGCTGATGGGAGAACATACTGGCAGTTCCTTAAAAAGCTACACATAAAATTACCATTTTTACCATAGACTTCTAGGTATCTATCCAAAAGAAATGGAAATACCCACTCCACTCACACACAGACTTGCACAAGAATGTTCCTAAGAGCCAAAAAGTAGAAACTTAAATCTTCATCATCTGATGAATGGATAAAACGTGGAATATCCATACAACGGAATATTATGCAGGAATAAAAAGGAACAAGCTACTAACGTGAAGGAGCCCTAAAAGTATTATGCTAAGTGAAAAGACACAAGGGACCATATACTGTATCATCCCATTTGTGTGAAGTATCCAGAAAAGGCAAATTTATAGAGAAGCAAAGTAGACTAGTGGTTGCCTGGGGCTGGGAGTGGGAACAGGGATCTTCTGGGGAGATAAAAACGTTCTCAAATGGGTTTATGTGATTTTTGCACCACCTGGTAAATCAAATCACTGAACTGTACACTTGATATGAGTCCACTTTATATGTAAAATGTATTTCAATAAATCTGTTAAAGTTTTTTTTTAATTATAGTAGGCGCTCAAATATTAGCAGAGTAACTAACCTTACTTGTTTATATATTTTCTCACCACCCTCGCCCCTGCAACTTGACCCTAATCTTGAGGGCAAGACCAAGTCTCCCACGTACTGTACTGATTTTCAATACAAGTTGCACCTAACCCAAACCTATACACACACTGTGTTCACAACCACTTGTGGATGTGATTTTTGCCTTGTCAGGCTATGGAGTGGGTGATGCCATCAGGAGAGAAATGGTGTCTGTGGATAGACAGGCAGAATAACCGTGTCTGAATCCCAGCAGCTCCTCCGCTTCCTAGCTGTGAACTCAGGGCACTGCCCGCTGCGAGCCCATTCTCCAGGCCCAAAATGGGAAAAACTATGGTAGCTACCTCGTAAGATTGTTCTGAGGATGACATGAGATGATCTGGAGAAAACGTTTAGCGCGGTGCTTGGAACATGTAACAGCTCATTGCACGTCGACTTCAAACACACAAACCCAACCACAAATGCACACACACCAGAGGAATCTCTTTAAACAGGAAACAACCTTCAACAACAGAGGGTACGACTACAGATGACCCACCCCTCTACTTCTCATCTACCAGGCGAGGGGCCCTGGGATGTCTCTTCTCCCTTCCAAGCCCACTGAAATTCATCTGTGACCAGAAATACTATTAATCGTCGAACAGGAGGAACTCGACAGTGCCCACGATTTTCATCATTTAGTTTGTCTGACTCTCCATCCTCTCTCATCCTACAAGGTGGGATTTCACTTCCTGGCTCCCTCGGTGTGAGCAGGGCCACACATCCAGTTCTAACCAACGAACGTTGAGAGGAAGTGACGTGTCACTTCCAAACCAGAGCGTGTGTCTGTACAAGACTCTCCCGGAGGAACTAATAAGCGGCCCAGCTGCGGCTGCACTGTCAGCTACGTGACGCCAACATGGGGTGGGGGACCTGAAATGGTCGGGGAGGATGAGCGGGAAATAAACCTGCTCTATGTCGTTTTGCGTCACCCAGCCTCGCCTGACAAAGTCACAAGGCTCTCAGGCTGTGAAACTGTACATTTTATAGTGTTTTCTTTTTTAATTTATTTATTTTTGGCTGCGTTGGGTCTTCATTGCTGCGCGTGGGCTTTCTCTAGTTGTGGCGAGTGGGGGCAACTCTTTGGTGCAGTGTGTGGGCTTCTCATTGCAGTGGCTTCTCTTGTTGTGGCTCGCGGGCTCTAGAGCACAGGCTCAGTAGTTGTGGCACATGGGCTTAGTTGCTGTGCGGCATGTGGGATCTTCCCGGACCAGGGCTCGAACCCATGTCCCCTGCATTGGCAGGCGAATTCTTAACCTCTGTGCCACCAGGGAAGCCCTGAAATTGTACATTTTAAATCTCACCTAAAAAAACCTTCCTGGGACTTCCCTGGTGGTCCAATGGTAAAGAATCTGCCTTCCAATGCAGGGGACATGGGCCCAAGCCCTGGTCAGGGAACTAACATCCCACATGCCGCAGGGCAACTAAGCCCGTGCACCACAACTGTTGAGCTTGCCCGCCTCAAGTAGAGAGCCTGCGTGCCGCAAACTACAGAGCCCACGCGCCCTGGACCCTGCGCGCCACAACTAGAGAGAGAAACCCCCTCACGCCACAACTAGAGAGAAGCTCACGCTCCACAACAAAAGATCCTGCACGCCTCAACAAAGCGCCTGCGTGCTGCAACTAAGACCCGATGCAGCCAAAAATAAATAAAATAAATTCTAAAAATAAATAAACAAACCTTCCAAAGACCCTTCATTCCCCTGGCTTCTGTGCCGAGGCACTCTCCCTGTTCTGTCAGCCTCTCTGACCACTCCTGGTGGCTCCACTCCCTCCCTCTCCCCCGCTGGTAACCAGGGCTCTGTCCTCAGCCCAGAGGCTTCTCAATCCACACGCCCTCCAGGGAGATCCCACCCGCTCTCCCGATTCATCTACCACACATACGCTAACGCCACCCCCATTTCCCTCACACCCGAAGTCCTGCTGGGCACCTCAGCCAGCTGCTCCGCAAGCACCCTCAGTCCCACACGTCCAAAAGCAAGCACACTGTCTGCCCAGCCGCCTCGAGCCACGCGTTTCCCCCTACGAGCCTCACGTTGGCTAGCGGCACCTGAGCCTCCTGGAGGCTTCCAGACCAGAAACCTGACAGTTAGGCTGGATGCCTCCGTCTCCTTCACGCCTTCCTCATTCAGCCAACCATCCCAGTCAGTTTCACCTCCCTTACATGTTATTGTATGGGGGGAAGGGTGACGGTTTGTTTTTATTTGTTTAATGCTTATTACAGTGACTAAGAAACTGGTTCAGGCTCAGGGAGAATCTTATTCTGGTGTGAGGTATGACAGTGATGTGCTACCTGGGACAAACAGTTCGGTCTAGACCAAGAAAGAAGAAAGCTACAACTTCTGAGCGCACAATCATGAAACGATGGCAGGAGCAGCCTGCATATCCAAATCATCCCTTTAGCCACTTGCTCAAGTCAAGGTCTCAGAACACAGCCAAAGGAGCTTTTGGTCTTTATTAAATTCTCTTAAGCATCACTCGTTGTTCAAGTTTAAGACAGGGCAAATCCTTTCTAGCATTTATGGGGCTCTCATCTTCTCCTCATAAATATATCTAAAAAGAAAGCATCCACTAACTCATCTCTATTTTCTCTAACCTGCTTGATTTTCTAAAGTTGGAAAAAGCAATCTTGGTGTCCCGGAACCAGAGCCAAGGCTTCTCAACATCTTCGGTTAAAATACCAGTTATTTCCCAAGCAGGGGAGAGCACAGCAACATTACCTACGCTTTACAGTACACAGCTCAGTGGCTGCTGTCTTTTGGCTACTCTACCACACAGCAGAGTGGGCTCATCACCCCAGTGTTCTTCAGCCTCAAAAACCATTCAGAACTTACTGCCCATGTAGAAGAGTTCTCATGGCAGCACACTAAGTGACAAAAAGACCAAAAACAAAAAAGAAAAGAAAGAAACTGTTTTTATTGCTTTACAACAAGCCGGCAACACACACAACAGAATAATCATACACGTGACACTTGTACATCCCCGAACGGAGTATAAAACCAGAATGTGCTCCTCCACTTAAAACGTTATTTGTGAACAGTGAAATCCACCACTTCTGCCGAGAACTTTACTGTTCTCAAGCAGAATTGATACTTAAAGAGGCAAAGAAAGCTATGATCAAACTTACTGCATATGTCTGATCATGGAATTCAAAGCCTTTTATGCTCAGTCCAGGCAGTGCTGTTACTGCACATTTGAGGTGACCATCCTAGGCACTTTAAGACTCTATATCATTTTTCTTTCCAAATTCTTCTGCAGAAAGAGCTGTCAAGAAAATTGTTCTAAAATGCAACTATGCATAGCAATTTATGTCTCATTTCTACTTCTTTCCTCATGATGGAAAATTTGATCAGTCCTTAACTCAGCCTGATAACAGCTCTGATGGCCATGCCAGATATCCTACTGTACAAACAGGAAGCCCAAACCCGTATTAGGCATGAGAGGGTGACACTTCTAAATACTTCCTATTATTCTGGACACACTGGCACCTTCCCTTCAGTGAGCTCCAAGATGCTGTGGATTAAGTCACCATTTTAATAATATCTCAACAGCAAAATTACATGGCAAGTACTACCTGAAAATTAGGAGGGGGGCGGTGCCAATGAGATACATGTGACTTGCCCAAAACTGTAAAACCTGACTGTTGGAATAATCAACAACCTGAGAGAATTACTTACTCAAAAAAACATGACCAAATCAGCTAATTTTTTTGTTTGTTTGTTTTTTAATTCAAGGTTTTCTCTTACTTCCAGACAAAGCACAGCATTCTTCAGTCAGAACATCACCAGTCAGGGTGTTGAGAATTAACTCCGCTGAGTGGCTTTACACTCCCAGACCTAGCAGTCTACCTGGCTATTAGGTAAAAAGTTTCATAGCTCTGAAGTACATCATATGAAATGTTAGTTCAAGATGTGTGTGGACGCAATGTTTACCTGCTGCAACAGCAGAATGTTAAGGCAACATCAGAACACAGAGGTGTTTTAAAACACTACCCCTATCCCCACCTGGTAAGCAGAGCCAGATGATGTTACTCAATCCTTAATACAAAAATGTCCCCAAATAATCTGCTGAACTTGACTTTGCAGTTTAATCTTTGATATTTTGATGGCAGTGAGAGAGAACCCTGGGGCTATACTTCCCTTGCAAAAAAATTCAACATCTGATTTACTCAGAAGGTTTAAAATGAGGAAGGAAAATATAAAATAACTTGTCCTTCGCTTGGCAACCATCCTTTTGAGTTAACTATTTTTATACGGTATCCAGGGCATACCTGGGTATGGATGGCTAATTTGGATATAGAAAACATCAAGGGTCACTCCTGGAAGAATCACAAACAAGACAGTAAAGCTCTCCATCAGTACATCGACAGCATCAGGGTAAGCAAGAAAAGAACTTTACCAAGAGCTTGGCATTTACACTTTTTGACAGAACTGAAATACACTGAGTTACAGAGCAAATTCACTGAAACGACAAAGAAAACTCTGTCCTTGTAAAGGCTATTCTTTCACCCCCAAAAAAAGTGTTTCAACTCTGATACACCACACAACCGGTTAAGAAAATGAAGCGCGGTGTTTAGCAATGGGCATCCTAACGACCGTGAGAGGCGCCGGGCTGGGGTCAGCGGGGCGCGCGGAGAGCCCCTACTTCTCCACACAGGCCGCCGCCGTCTCCTTGTTGAAGCCACGGATGGAGAGGTCGTAGACCACCTCCTCCACTTTCTTCACGTCATACTTCAGGCCGTCGTAGCGCTTCCGCAGGGAGTCGTTTTTGAGGTTGAGGAGGCGGAAGCCGGAATCCAGCTCGTTGATGAAGGTGGAGATGTGTAGGGGCCGGGAATAGTCTCCAGCAGTCACGCTGTTGACCGACAGTCTCGACTGCGGGACAGAGAAGCAGGGATGTCACAGCAGGGCTCCTCCTCCTGGCCGCGGCCACAAGGCCCGTGGGCCGCAACACGTCTCCATACTGCCCCTCATAATTCCAGTTCTGACAACTGCTTGATCTTACTAACTTACTTAATAACTTAAGAAATCATTGGCCTTTTGTTGGAGTTTCTGTGGCCTCCAACTTTTCATAAATATGAATAGGTTATAGTGAACACCTTTATAACAGCTTTTTCTCTTCTTTTGAATTACTTTTATAGGATAATTTCTCAGGAGATGAAGGAGATAAAGGCAAGAATAATTTATACAGTTATATAGTTAAATTGTTCCCCCAGACAATTATATGAATTAATGCAGTCACCAGGAATATATGCCTCACCACTACTTTGAAAGGAGGTATTCTCATCTTCTAAAAATGCACACAATAGTTAAGTGTGCACAGCCACCTCATCGTCTGAACCGCTATCCCAGCAAAACCTAACACACACAGTACACAGTCAATGACTACCCTGTGACCGACAGGTGGCTTAGAAAAGAACAAGGCTTCTGAATTTTTGTACCCATTTTAAAAAACTGACAATGAAGTGGAAAAGTCAAAAGAGCAAATGACAAATCACTAAGCTTCTTACCAGTTCACTAGCAAGAATGAGAACTCCTGAGAGATAATCTTCTACATCCAGGTGAAATCCCTTCTCCCGATCTGGCTCAACTAGAAAATATAACAAAGACAAGGTCGTGATGGAAATACAACTTACACCTAAAAATTTTTTAAACTACAGACACACACACATGCACACATGTGTAATTTCTCTCAAAGTGAAAAAAGGAACAAGTCCTTCAAAACTATCTTTTGAATGTGGACATATCCTTGGCACTGTGGACTTTTCATGCTCTCAAGCAGAATTCAATCTTTCCTTCCATTCTTCTTTCAAAATATAATACCACCAAAGGGCTTTCCTGGTGTCACAGTGGCTAAGAATCTGCCTGCCAATGCAGGGCACATGGGTTCGAGCCCTGGTCCAGGAAGATCCCCCATGCCGCGGAGCAACTAAGCCCAAGCACCGCAACTACTGAGCCCCCGCACCTAGAGCCCATGCTCCGCAACAAGAGAAACCACCGCAATGAGAAGCCCGCGCACCACAATAAAGAGCAGCCCCCGCTCGCCGCAAGTAGAGAAAGCCCACGTGCAGCAATGAAGACCCAACGCAGCCAAAAATAATAAATAAATTTTCAACCAAAAAAAATAATAATAATAATACCACCAAAAATATATGTTATGTCTGAGAATACCTTTGTTTTTAGAAGTGCATGCTGAAGCACTGAAATGACAAGTCATGGTCTCTACACCCAGCTTTCAAACGGTTCACACGTGCCCCCAAGGCACACACAGTAAGAGACTAAGCAGATGGGCCAAAATGTGAACAAGTAGAGGATCTAAGTGAGGGGTACACAGGGGTTCACTGCACTGTTCTTTCAACTTCTCTGTAGGCTTGACGTTTTTAAAAACTCAAAGGAACGTCCAAGTACAAAGAGCAAGCCACTACATATTTTTAGTTTTTCTGTTTCCAAGTAACCCGTTTTCCATTTAGCTCTCATTTGTTTCCATAAATAGAAAGTCCCCCCGCCAAAACCTCAGCTGGCCCTGCAGGTAGACACGCCTGCGGACACTCACTGCCAAGGATCTCCGTGACCGCCTCTCGAGTCACCAGGGTCTCCGACTCCAAGTACACGACGAAGGCTGCCAAGAAGACCAGGCGCTGTAGCACAAATCTCCAGTGCTCGTGAAACCTGCAGCGAGCGTGAGGCACCAGCGTCACAAAGACAGAACGGGGGCAGCCATGGCCAGACACGTGAGGAGTGGGGCCATTTTCAAATAAAACTTATAAAACGTGTAAGAGCAATGTGACATTTAAGTATATGAGATGGATTCAGCGTAAGTACACTGGACTGGATTTGCCAGTCCAAATTTATAACAATTACTTACTATAATTTTAATGAATGAGAAGCATGGTCCAATTTTAAGAGCAACTGTGCTTTAGAAGTTTAATCAGTAAATACAATAACACTGCTCTGAGAAAAATAAATGTGGGCGAATGAAGATTGATGAGAGCCACAACTGTACATCAGCCTCAGCACCTGACTGTGTTATTCTCTGAACTGAGTGCAGGGTATCAAGAAACTCCTGATTCACACACATAGGAAATAACTACCATTTGCAGTCACTAAACAGGTGAACTTAAAACCTTGGGATACTGCAGTTAAACCAAGCTAGGAGCCTGAAAAAGAAATAGAAATTTTACAACCCCTAGATATTTATGCTATGCCTCCTGATTTTCAAATGTGGCAACAAATTCAAAACCTTCTTTCAACAAAACCCAGGCCAAACAAAACATTCTGTGGTCCAAATCAGCCAGAGGGCAGCCTGTGTGTGAACTCCAAACACCATGGTCTCTAAAGACCCTGCCAGTTCTATTGTCCTACTTCTCTAAGCATCAGTTATTACCTTACAGCAGGGGTCAGCAAACCTTTTCTGTGATTGAGGCTTTGTGGGTCACTTTCAGTCTCTGTCACATACTCTTGTTTGTTTTCTTTTTCTTAACAACTCTTTAAAATATAAATATATTTATATAAAATATAAAAGGCCACAGTAGTTTGCGGGCCCCTACCTTTAAAGAATCTTGTGAGGTTATACTATCCACTCCCCACATACATGTCCTAACTATTCCTTGCCTATAACGTGTCTTAAAAGAACATCTTCTCTAGTGAGAAAGCAAGTGTAAGTAGAAAAGTTTAGGTTCCTATTTACTATATTTCATCAACACTCAGTTTTTCCCAGTTTAACATCTATGAAATCATGATGTATTGTACAATCTACATTTCACAATTATGATTAACAACAAATTTTTTCCCTAGTGGTATGAAAAATAACATTGTATCTTAAAATTAATAGTGTTGTACATTCAAGGAGATATGGCATATTACCCACATATGTCACTTGGCAGTGAAATTCGATATTCAGTATATTTATACACACACATACACTGCCACTTAATCCCATAACCTTAACAGCAAAGATAGGGTTCATCCAACTTCACAAGTAACTTGAATATACTAAAAAGATATTCTCTATTTTGACCTTCACACAATACATATTTTCTTTTTAATTACCTTTTCATTGCAAAAATTATACATGTTCCTTAAGAAAATTTTGAAAGTAAAACGGAGAAAAAAATAAAATCAACAATTTTGTCACCATTAAAATACCACCACTATTAACAGTTCCTTTTCCTTTCTGTTGCTTCTCCTAAGTAGAAGGATTTTTACCGAAGCAATCATTTTAGTACATATAATTTTTCTCTTGCCTTTTTTTACTTAACGTTATAAAAGATGTTAGTTGTCTTACAAACCTGTAATACTGTTCAGCAGGAAACTTGGTCTTCAAAGACGTCAGATGTGTTTTTACTGTACCAAAATGTTCTCGAGCTTTCAAACACCTCTTTGGAACTGATCACAAAAAGATAATCAAACATAATAATGACAGACTGAGCAGATTTCAAATACACTTCTTGCTTAACAATCTATGTAGTCTACCTGGAAATTTTTTTAAAATCTCATGACCAAATGTAGGGTATGCAGCTCTGCTTTCAATCTGGCTCTCAAAATTTCATATCTAGCTTCCCTACTAAAAAATAAACAAACAAAAAATTGCTAAAAGGGAATATGTTGGGTAACATACTGGTAAACTATCATAAATAACCTCATCTTTAAGCTGCCTTTCCTAGTCAGTCCCCAAAGGATGCCTAAAATTGGACTGCTTCTCCCATATTTGGTCAAAAGGCAGCTTTATAATTATTCTCAATCAGGCTGACCAACTCTGTATCACCTAGAAAAATGACTTGCCCCTGACACCTGTTAATTACATCATTATATCATTATCTTTCTGAAACTATATTTCAGGTCTCTCAGTTGTGCTGACTACATCTTACAATGGAGGTTCCATGTCTAAACTTCTCATACTTGATACCCAAAGAAGAACTGACTGTAAACACATTGACAACATTTTACACTGGCCATTTCATTATCTACAAATGCATATTAAATTATTTTCAATGACTGAAAGATTGGGTTTAAGAAAAAGAGCCAGACAAAAGTTGCTAGATACACAAGACAGCTATGAAACTACCACAATTATCATCAGTATAACTCTATCACAGGAGAAAACATTCCTATTTCCACCTACGTGAAACTAGAAAATCAGCTATGAAACTACCACAATTATCATCAGTATAACTCTATCACAGGAGAAAACATTCCTATTTCCACCTACGTGAAACTAGAATATCAAAATACACAGAATTCTGGAAACCTGTAAAATGATCAACTCACCCACTTCACCAATTTTTACTCACCATAAAGCATGAGAGACATTTTTCAGAGTAAATAATACAGATTTGATATGTCTTCTGGATGTAAATTAACTCTTTAAATGAGAGATCGATAAATTGGATAAAAACCTTCAAAATCAAAACAAAGAACTTACTGTCCTGAAACCCAGCACCCTGATGGACCCCTTGCAGTAGCGTTAAAATCTCTCGAGCTGTTTGTTCTAAACTCTGTACAACTTTTCGGATTTCCTAGAAAGAATTAAAGATGAAAATATCAAATAAATCCAACATAATCATTATATTATCATAGCCTCAAACCAAATATACTAAATAGCATATTTGATCTATGACACCTTCACGTAGATTCAAAACACTAGCAACCTTTACAAGGACATGAATGGTGCACAAAATATCCAGATTTGAATTCTGACTTTTCCACTTACTTCCTCTGTGAGACCTTCAGGAAGTCACTAAAAAGCCTTAGATTCCTGATATAGACTTCAAAGGCTAATTGCCACCCACTCACCCAAAATATCCCACTCCAACACTAAAGGAGATGAGGCACCCACACGTAAACCAACAAGAGAAGAATGAAACGCAATACAAGGATCGAGTATTTTTCACTCATTCATTTTACAAATATTCACTGAGCACATTTTTAGGCACTGTGTAACTACTGAGGAACCAAGCAGGCAGTCCCTTCCTTCCTTTAGAGTCTAACGGGGGAGGCGTTTAAAAAATAACCATCACACAATTTTTTTTAATGGTAACGTACTACTAGAAGTAAACATAACAGGGTAAAAAATTATTTACATTTTGACATCAAGGAGGTGAACACGAGATAACCAGGAAAAGAGTGGGAAAGTAGTGCATTCCGGGAAAAGCAAGCAGTACATGCAAAAGTCCTGAGGCAGGAAGCTATTTGGGGAACTAGAGGAATAAAAGGGAGGTAAACTGAGCATAACACACAACGGAAGAAGGCGTAAAATGAGACTGGAGAGAGAGAGCTGTGAGCCACAGTAGTCTGGATTTTTATCCTACGTGGAATGAGAAGCCATAGGAGAGTTTTAAAGAGAATGGCACACATGCTTTTAAGACACCAATAAACAAACACAACAAACACGTGTCGTCTGAGTCCCAAGCGCTAACTGAGGCTTCGACATAATCATACGCTAAAAAGGAGGAAAACTGACACCCAAATGAGGTAGGTGATGCCAAGGAACCGAGCCCCGAACACAGGGAACCAGGACCTGGCAGCAGAATCGGGGGCCGGGGGAGGGAAGTGCCCTGAGCCAAAACAAGACGGGAGCAACCCACCCCCGGAGGCTTCCCCACCGCTCGAATCTGAGCGACGGAGGAGGGCCGGGCGTCGCGGCCCAGCTAGGCAAGGAGAGGGAAAGGGGATGGGGAGAGAGGGGGCTCGCCTCTCGGATGTCCTGCTCGGCAGCCAAAAAGCCCTGCAGCTCCACGAAGATCTCGCTCACAGACATGGCGCCGGCCGCACGAGTGTCAGCCAGGGCGGCGAGGGTGGCCAGCCGAGTTCGTTCGGGAGACAACCGGCGCCGTCAGTCACAACGCCCGCCACCACCGCGGCCGCGTCCACCGGGCCCTGCGCTGGGGCTGTCGCTGGGGTCCTCCCAGGCCCACGGCGCGCAGAAGGCCGGGCTGTCCGCCGCTCTGCCTGAGGCGCTGCCCGGAAGGCATAGCAAGGTGGGCCGGGCTCTTCCGACAGGCATCACCGAAAACAGCCCGGGAAGGGGTCCTCGGACCACGTGGGCCTGAGGGCTGGGGCTTGGGTTTAGAGGTGTGGGGCATCCCGCTATTAGCTCGTGAAATCCACCCCCGTGTCTTGTTGGGTGTTTGGTGCCAGGAGCCCTACACGATGCCAAAATCTGAGGATCCTCAAGTCCCTTATATGAAATGGCGTAGCATTTGAGTATAACCTACGCACATCCTCCTGTAATACTTTGCTTACTTGTAATTAGGTATTAGTTGTTATACCTAATAAAATGCATTAAGAAAATAGTTGTAAATACACTGCGAATAATATGTACATAGTTGCTAGTGCACGCAAATTCAAGCTTTGCTTTTCGGAGCTTTGGAATTTTGTTTTTGAATATTTCTACCTGGGGTTGGTCGAATTTGCGGTGCGGAACCGCAGATACGGACGGCTGACTACTGTACATGGTGTTTTATCCAACAGCAGTTGGCGGGAAGATGCTTCGATACTGAAGGGTACGCATAAAAAGAATGTAGATTGCAGTCTTCGTAAAAAGGGAAACAGTACATTCGTTTCTGCAAAAAAATACTCGGGAAAAATAAAAGTGTATGCGGGACTGTAATTAAGGGGATGGATTGAAAGTGAAATTTTTCTTAAATTTTAACTTCTTTGTAGGATTGTGTTGCCTTTTTTTAGATTATATGAATTTTTAAGCGTGCTGGGTGGGAAGTTTCTCTCCTTCTCAACTACTACCTTCCCTCATTCCCCTTCCTTGAGGCACGGGCTGTAATGATTTCTTGTTTAACCTTGCAGTTATTCCATACATCTACCCTACAAATACAAATGTGTATGTGTGTGTAGGATACACTCCATATGAATTTAAATGATTACTTATATCAACTAAATGATAGTTTATTGTTTGCTTTGCGCCAGACGCTATTCTAAAACTTTACATGAAAGGTCATATTTTATCTCCAATATACTTCTGCGAATTTGATACGATTTTTATCTTATAAATGATGTTACTATGTTAACAGATTAATTGACTTGCCTAAGGTCATATGCAGCTATTACAAGATGAAGCTGTAATCTAAATGAGTTGTTTTCATCACCATGCTATTATCATCATATATATATTGAAATTTCTTTTGGGAATTTGCTATGCTTTTTGCACATCTTACTATAAAGTTTTCATCTTTCTCATTCAATTCTAGTAATCCTTATTACTTAAAAATTAACATTTTCTCATTTTTTTTACCATTTTTAAAAATAATTTTTGAAATGCAGACATTGTTAATGTGAATTTTTCTGTTTGTTTTTGGTGGAATGGACATGTCCTGTTTATTAACACAGTCAGTCCTTTATGGGCTATTTCGGTTCTTTCTATTATAAATAACATTGTGATGAAAGTCTTCATAAGCCCTTATCAGTATGTAAAATCATTTCCTTTTGATATACAGATGGGCAACAGGCACATGAAAAGATATCATCAGGGAAATGCAAATCAAAACCACAATAAGATATCACCTCACACCTGTGAGAATGGCTATATGAAAAAGAAAAAAGGGACTTCCCTGGTGGCGCAGTGGTTAAGAATCCATTTGCCAATGCAGGGGACACAGGTTTGAGCCCTGGTCCGGGAAGATCCCACATGCCACAGAGCAACTAAGCCCATGCGCCACAACTACTGAGCCTGCACTCTAGAGTCCACCAGCCACAACTACTGAGCCCACGTGCCTAGAGCCCTTGCTCTGCAACAAGAGAAGCCACCACAATGAGAAGGCGGCACACCACAGCAAGGAGTAGCCCCCGCTCGCCGCAACTAGAGAACTAGAGAAAGCCCGCACAGGGACAAAGACCCAACGCAGCCAAAAATAAATAAATAAATAAATTTATTTTTTTAAAAAAAAGACGAGATAACAGGTGTTGGTGAGGATGTGGAGAAAAGTGAACCTCCTATGCTGGTGGTGGGAATGTAAATTGGTGGAGGCACTATGGAGATTTATCAAAAATTAAAAATAGAACTAGCATACAATACAGCAATTCCAGTCCTGGGTATTTATCCAAAGAAAACAAAAACACAAATTTGAAAAGATACATGCATCCCAATGTTCATAGCAGCACTAGTTACAATAGCCAAAATATGGAAGCAACCTAAGTGTCCATCAACAGATGAATGGATAAAGAAGATGTGGTATGTAGATGAAATGGCATACTACTCAGCCATAAAAAAAGAATAAATTTTACCAAATGTGACAACATTGGTTGACCTGGAGGGTATTATGCTCAGTGAAATAAGTCAGGCAAAGAAAGACAAATACTATATAATATCACTTATATGTGGAATCTAAAAAATAAAACATGATCAAACATAGCAAGGCAGAAACAGACAAACAGATACAGAGAACCAACTGGTGGTTGCCAGGGAGGAGAGAGGTGGGGGGAGGGGCAAAATGGATAAGGGGATTAAGAGGTACAAACTACAAGATATGAAATAGGTAAGTTAAAACTGAATAAATAGATAAGTTACCAGGGATGTAATGTACAGCACAGTGAAAAAGCCAAAATTTTATAATAACTCTATACAGAGTATAACCTATTAAAATGTCAAATTACCAATTGCACACCTGAAATTAATACAATGTTGCAAGTCAACTATACTTCAATTAAAAAATTAAAGTTAGAAATTTAAAAATGATAATAAGATCATTCATTTGATAAGTCCTGTTTTTAAAGCTCGTGAAATATTTTGCCAAATCCCTCTGCAAAGAGCTTGATTTCATTTTCATTCCCCTGCCCACCAGGGCCTGAAGGAGCCAGCTTGGCTGCTCTCTCCCCAGTGTGAATATTAACACTGTAGACATTCTGGGCTAATTTAAGGGTGAAATTATACCTTATTTAATAGTACTGCAGACAAGGTCATGGGTGGTGCACGTCTGCAAGGTTCCTTGAAGGGCAAGAGGGGAGAAACAGAAGTCTGGTTGGGAGCTGTGGCCTGCAGTCTGAGAACAGGAGAAGAGGTTAGGGAGTCAGTGCAGAGAGAGAAAAAAGAGATGGGCCTTGGGCTGTGTAAGCAGGGGATTTTAATTTATAGAGCTGACAAAATGACAGCTAGAGAGGCCAGTGCCATTGACAGAAGAATTTATTCCTTGCGTCTCCTGAGAAGACAGGGCACACCGTGCCAGGCAGGGCCACACGGGGAAGCACCAGGTTTGGTCAGGAAGGAGGAGCAGGAGTGAGGGAAAGCCAAGCCAGAGCCTGTGTCCCTGTGTCCCTGTGGTCACGGGCAGGGCAGGGCGGGGCAGAGCAGGGTGATGAGCTCAGGACTGGCCAATGTGAATGCTTCTGGTGGACTTCAGGCTATAGGAGTGGTCTCAAGTTGCCTGGTACCTCGCCTTGGCATGATTTAGGGGAGGGGATATTGGCTTGGTGTGTGAGAGTCAGGTAAGGAGATGCTCCAGGCTGAGCCCTTTGCTGTCGCTAACAATTGGCTAGCACTGGGAGGAACAGTCTCTCTGCAGCCAGCAAGCTTTTTTTCTTTATTGAAGTGTAGTTGATTTACAATGTTGTGTTAGTTTTTGGTGTATAGCAAAGTGATCCATATATGTGTGTGTGTGTATATATATATATATATATATATATATATTCTTTTCCATTATGGTTTATTGCAGGATATTGAATAGAGTTCCCTGTGCTCTACAGCAGGACCTTGTTGTTTATGCATTCTAGATATAATAGTTTGCACCTGCTAACCCCAAACCATCAGCAAGCTTTTTAAGGTGTCAAAACATCAGAAAATACAAACATGATTAACACAGGCTGGGAAGAGGGCACCAGAATTCAGACTGCAGGACCCAGGACACCATGACCCACAGCCCCACTGAATGCAGGAAAGGATCCTGAGATGAACGAGGGCATTGGTGAGTCAGTCCATGGATTTTCAGAGGGAACCTGGATGCTCTAGGCAGGCCCCACTCTCCACTCTCCCCACCCCCATCCCCCCGCCGGTCCACCCAGCTTTGCCAGGGTCACTGCCACACTCGGGGTCTGGATTTGGGGCTGTGCATGATGTTAAACCCAGCACAGGGCAGGATGTGGCCCAGGTGACAGTCATCTACAGGACAGAGGAAAAAATGTCCCTCCCAGCCTCAGGTCATGTGGCCCTAAATGGTCTGCAGACTGAATTTTTAGTTTGTCAGGTGACATGCATTGAGGCTCCACTGTTGAGCCGGGTGACACAGATGAGAACTGCTCCCCACTTCTTCCCCTAAAATTGCTCCTTTCAGTTCCATGCCCAGAAGCCCTGTGCCTGAGCAAGGGGCAAGGGGCAGGGCCAAGCAGGCTGACTCTGGTAGCTGGGCCCACGTCCCATGGGTGGCATGTTGGACGGCCCTGCAGGGACCAGGCAGAACGATGGAAAGGGGGGAGAGCAGGGGAGGAGGAAGGTGGGCAGGGCTGGGCAGGCACCTCGGCCCCTGCCGGTGCCCACTGGCTCCCCTCTCAGGACCGCCCCGCAGAGCCCTCTCCTCCCAAGGCCCAGCTGCCCGGACACTCAGCACATCCCTCCTCGCCCTGCAGCTGGTCCCGCTCTGCCGCCAGCCCCACCTCAAATCCCAAGCAGCAGCCCTCGCCATGCTGGGCCCCCAGCCCATAGGTGGTGATGGTGGCACCATGGGAAAGACATGCCACTGTTCTGTCCCAGCAGATATGGGAGGGCAGTGGGGGAAAAGGAGGGGAGAGACCTGCAGTGAGCACACTCAACCATCCAATCAGGGGTCTGCGGAAGTGCCTGGAGGCATGTGGGTTGTTAAGTGCCCAGGCGGGGAGGGCTGGGGTGGCCCTGGCAACGCGTGCTGGGGACAGGATGCAAAGGCAGTGTGTATGGCACGGTCCAGCTCAGTGAGAGCCATCCCACCCAAGCAGCCTC